GCCGATGTTCCAAACAAGCAGGCGGTTGATAGAGCCACGGTGCAACCAGCCCTCCGCTGGATTGGAAACTGAGAGCAGCGTCCTCTGGTCCCCTTGGCTATTTCACTGGCCTCTGTCAGCAGCCACACTTAATTCTGAATTGATAAAAGAGGACTTAAGCCATCTTTGAATTTATATAGCCTCTGCACAAAACAGTTTCCCCCCAATCTGCAATTCTAATGTGCTGTCTACATTTGAATACTTAAGTTGGATTTCACTGTATGTTTATACATATACATATACATATAAAATACTTAGGTAAAGACAATGAATTATGGTTGAGGTGTATTATTAGTTTCCTAGGGTGGTTGTAACAAAGGACCACAGACTGAGTGGCTTAAATAGAAACTTGTCTCGGTAGTTCTGGGGGCTGAAAATTGAAGACCAAGGTGTCAGCAGGGCCGTTCCCCTGGGACGGCACTAGGGCAGGGTCCGCCCCGGGCCACTGTCCTGGACTCTGTAGGTCCTTGGCTTGTGGCAGCATCGCTCCAGCCTCCACGTGGCATTCCGTGGGCCTGTCGTGTCCAGATTTCCCCTTTATAAGGACATCGGTTATACTGGGTTAGCGGTCCACCCTACTCCAGTGTGACTCCACTAATTACATCTGCAACAACCTTATTTCTGAATAAGTGCCACATTCTGAGGCACTTGGAGTGAGGACTTCAACATATAAATTGGTAGGGGGGGGCACAGTTCAGCCCCTACCATGGTGATTGACACGAAGATAATCAACTACAGAAGGTTAGCAGCAGTGGGGTCCTGGTAGATTACCGGATACAACCCTCTTACTTTGCATGTGAGATCAGTGGGCAGTAAAAGGCATCTTACATATTTTAAAAATTAAATTAGGTAAAGGGTTCTCCAAATGTTCCATAATAATTAAAGTTCTATGTTTTCTCATGTCTCGCTCCTAACACAAATTTGGCCCTTCTCCTTTCCTTTTCTCTTTCTCTGAACCTTCCCCACCACCTCTGCTCCGGCTCACCTTCCTCGCCATCGGGAGATCTTCCTTGGCTGTTCTCACCAGCAGACTGCCCACGCTGCACTTGTGATCCGCACCACCAGCCCTTGGCAATGTGGCCCAGTCTGCCTGCTGATTTTTATTAATTGACATTTGAGGTGTACATACCACCTTATGCTTTTATCATGGTGTGCGTTTGTTAGACTCTGGGCATTGGTAGAGGGAGAATTTTCTGGTGCTATTATTAGAAGGAACTCTGATAGTTCGGCACAGGAAGCTTTTCTGAAATACAAGTTTTAATCACCTGAGTTTTGAGGAGCGGATGGAGAAGCGGATGGGTGGCCATATGGGGGTGGGGCTGTGGAGTGAGGTAGGGAGAGTGGCTGAGTTAATGAGCGCCTAGCCGACCCTTCCTCTCCCAAAAGTCACATGAGCCACCATTTTCCACTTTGATTACATAAGCCTTTTGCTGGCAGTGGATGTGTGATCATATTTAGGGAGTTCCCAGGGATATGAGACTCTGTTGATCTTGTCTCTATAACGAGGGCACTTGTTCCGTGAAGGCAAGAACCATCCCTTCTCCTTCTAAGTGCCCACCACATTGCCGGGGCGCGGCCTGCTTGTGAACTTACTGTGTGTGTGAGTGAAGAGAGGGGGTTGTTTTATGTAAACAAAGTCCATAGACAAAAATGAGTTATCTTATGGTAGTAGCCTTAGCAAATATTTTGAGAATAAACATAAGTTTACCATGGTTATCCAATGGAATTTGCCATTTTAATTTTCAAAAGTATTCAGATATACTTTTAAATATTGTAAAAATTGAAAGCACATAATAACCTTTCTAAAAAGTTAAAAATAATTTTAATATTTCTATAGAATGAATAAAAAGTTACTTTTTTAAAATAATTAAATGAAACAGGAATATGTAATATAAAATTATACAGGTCTCACATAGGAAGACAAAATATCAACTATATTAAATATTAATATATTAAATATATTAATGGGAAAATCAACATTTAAATATATTACCTTCTCCCACTATTACTTAGAATGGTTTAGACATTATATTTTGTATCTAGTGTGCAGAAATGTCTTGATGATTTCTCTTAATACCCAAATGTATTATCTTGTACTCTTGCAGTTCATTGAACAGGCTAGTCATGAAATTCCAGACCACTATATCATTAAATAATATTATATTCACAATTCATGCTAAATATGAGATATATTTGGATTTTTGTAATACTATCATTCAGAATCAAAAACACACTGTGATCCTTTCAGCAAGCTTTTAAAGAAATTATAGGGTAAGCCTGACACCTGCTGGTTAAGGTTTGTTACTGCGTTTTTCATTTCAAATAAACTGCATTTTTCATTACAGCATAGAGATGTAGTACAATTTGAAGCAATTCTACCTACAGATTTATGAGATTTCCTAGCTTGTTACAAATTATTGAAGCTCAATGTTCTAATAATTGTCGTAACCATAAGCCTTTCATGTTTATTCTTGCCTCTTGATGACCATCGATAACAAATCTGTAGCTATATATTTCTGAGTCTTCTAAAGAGTCTAAGTTCCATTTAGGCATTTTTCTCTTGAGTAATTGAGTTCCTGTAAGCGAGAGGTTGCTAAGTGCTGCTGAACTCCCTGCATAATTCTATCCATCCGTCTCTTCTCTTTCTGAGCCCTGCTGCACAACATACTGGTGGCAATGCTGCTGTGTCCCCTCCCAGGACCCCAGTCCACACGGTCCGCCACTCCTCCGGCTGACCCTAAGCACAGCCCGCAGGTCACCCGTTACTCAGGCCATCCCAGAACCTCAGTTTCCTCATTTGTAAAATAGGGCTAATAATTCTGCTTCCAGTTGTTTTGAGCATTAAATTAGGTAATGCATGAAAAGGACTTAGTTTCGTTATTGTTATTTGTTAGCCTTAGAAGACATTACTATATGTGCCTGTCATCAGTAGCTAGAAAATTCCCCAACATAAGACTTTTTGCCTCATCTATATTGCCTAATCTGCTTTTTAATCCTTGTTTTCTTCCCCTTTGTACTGTGAAGACCCCCTTCATTGCCAGGCAGACTTTGCAATCGCATGGTCTAGAAATTGAGTGCACTGACATGATAAAAATCATCTGGGGGCGGAAACGCCCCCATGGGTCCTCTGAACATGTGAAGCTTCTGGAGCGTTACTCCCCTTTAATTAGTGTGTGTTCATTAACCCTAACTTCGTATTTGATAGAGGGATATAATCATCATGACTTCAGTAAAGAAGAGCAAGTAAGGTAATGAGTTCAATAAATGTTAATTAAGTGCCAACCATACCATGTGCAGTTACTGGGAGAGGCGCTAGGAATACAACACAAGGAAGAGAGCCCCTCTCCAGAAGTCTTTTTGGGGAACCTCCAGGCTGGAGAAGTCTTGGGAGACTTCGGCTCACCCGGCCCCCTTGACCTTCAGTTGCAGATAATGAAAACTACTCTAGCTGGTGTAAGTGAAAAGAATTTATTATGTATTCTCTGGTTTCCAAAATTGTTGGAATGGCTGGAAAAGTAGGAGGAGATTCCAGGGACAATTTCTAGCCCCAGAATTTCATTCCTGCAGAAGCAGAAACCACCGAGAAGCTGCTTGCTGTAAAATCAGGCTGCTGTAGCTACTCCAGCAAACAGAGGCCTTGCGTCCTGCCTGGATCCCCTTTTAACTCAGTTCTGTATGTAGGAACTTAGATCATCCCTGGAACTGGACCTGCAAGGGCATCTGCAGATGTAGCATTTCACTTTTACAGTGCTCAAAGACACAAGGAGACCAGAGTTGGTGCTAACTGAGGCAGTCCACAGGATCTCATACATTGTTAAATAACGTACACATTTTAATGTGTCTCTATACTGCCCAATGGCTTTTTTAAAAGGTTGGGGAAATTTATAGTGGCAATGACAACAAGTGAGGCTCCGGTTTTCTAGAGCTTTAAAGTGTCAGGAAACGGAATCTCCATGGACAAAAATGGATATTGAGTAACAAGGGGCAGCCTGTGTCCTCTGCCTTTCTTTACTGTTTCACTTGAAATAAACAGATTCCTATACACTGTGGTTCCAGGCAACCTCCTACTTGAAAGCTGAGGATTATAAATCAACTATCTATCCTACGTTGGTGACTTACAAACAAAACAAGGCACTCATTTATATAATACAGGCTAAGCAACTTCGGTTATTGCTGAAAACTCCTGAAAAAGCAAGTAGAAGGCTTAGTTTACTTTCATTACTCTCTCTAATTTACACTTCCCTCTCTTCTCAGGTTCTCCCTCTCCCCTCTTCTCAGCTCTGTGTCTTTACTCTCCTAAAGAGCTACCAGTTGCCTTAGAGAAACTGGATTTGGGCTTTGAGCCAGCTGATTTGAACTATGAGGTGAGGTTTTGTTCAAAAACTTTAACTGCTGGAAGATGTAACATCTCATCCAGATGCTGGGAGAATAATCACTATGATACAGATGTTGATATACACAAAGGATGGTATAAATGACAATGACATATTTCCTAATTCCTTAAAGGAACTTATAACTTTACAATTACTAGATCTTAGAACAATGTAAATTTTTTTACACAGCAGTAAAAAATGAATACAGGGTATTTATGATACGCTACCATAATGAGATCCTATTTTATGGCACATGTTACATGAATATGCATAGAAAAATATCTAAAATGATGAATGATAAATGCTGACAGCAATTATCTTGGGGGGGGTGAGACAGTAAGTGGCTGCTTTTACTTTATTCCTTGTATTTCCTGGATTGTTTGAAAATTTAAAACTATGCATACATTAGTAATCAGATGGGAAAAAGAAACCTCTTAAAAGGTGAGAAATAAAATCATCAAAGTAGTATATCATAAATACCTTAAAGGAGTGTAGTAGATTAAAATTAACATAACTAATAAGAATGTATTTTTGTATGTTGTGTACTATTATGAAAAAGCACTGCAGTAAATTTTTCTAACTCCCAATCTCTTCTTCTTACTTAGAATGAATAGGTCTGATGCCTTTAGGTATGTTTAATTTCAGAATTTTATTTTAAATGGATTTTTATAGCATAACATACCATCTGTGGTACTCTTACTGAAATCATTTATGATGGTCAAATTCTAACAATTTTTGCAATAAGTTTTCATTAAACTTTACTAAAAAGAAAAAAATTACATTGTATACCATTTTGGACTTATTTTCTTAAATTTTCAAAATAATTTACTATAAATGTTAATTTCAAAGGAAATTTATGGGAAATTACAAAGCAACTACAAAATTCTTTACAATAAAATTCACAATTAAAATAACTTTTTGCAGGTTGAAAATTTATCAAAAGGTATAAGTGGATTATAAATATGTTTTGGCAATCTGGTTGATTTAAGGGTGCCTTAAAAGTTGTCTAGTTGAATTACTAGAGCTATGACATGTTTGATGCAATCCATTCTGTAAGACTAACACCAATGATTATTTCTTGCTGTTAAAACACAGAAACAATTTATCTACGAAACCCATCAGTACTACAAAGAGTTTGATGTCTTCATAAAGATTCTCTTATAAGTTCGGCTAATCTCTGGAAGGCCTAAAATAGAAAATAGATAAGAATTAATGAAATCTGGATGTTACTTAGCAAAAGTTTGTCAGAACTTTAAAAATTCAAACAAAGAATGCCCATCTAGGGCCGAGATAAGGCGGTGAAAAACCAAGTTCAACGTCAGCTTTATCGTGGTCGGTCGCCGCCAGTGTCCGCCAGTGTCACGGCCTGTGCAGGTACCGGCCTGTTAGACGCCAGGGGTTTTCTGTCGCTGTTCATGTAGCCCCTAAGGTTGTGGCTCTCCTTGTTCGCCATACCACATTTCATTTTTTCATATACTCTCTCACCTGTGTATATGCATTCTATATAGTTTCAGTTGTCCAACTCTATTATATAAAAATGAAAAACAACTTATGTAAAGCATATTTAGTGACATAAGAAAACAAGTAAATAAAGAACCCACAAAGAACCAGTCCACCTGCAAATATAAGTATGAATTCATCTTAAAATTAATGGCACCGTTCAATTGATGGGTCTTCTCTTTGGATCCCCGGACACACAGTTCTTAGGAACTCATTTCTTTGTTTCTTGTTATTTTGGTTAAAGCTAGACTTTGTGATTAATTTGAGAATATTATTATTCTCTTTGACTGGCTGATATTTTTGTCCTCAATGAAAGAGACTGCTGGCTTCAATTTGTACTTCTGGCTTATGTTAATCCTAGAAAGGAAGGAGAGTTTCTTCACAGCATACTGGCAATCAATGAATGCTGTTCAGTTGGCCTGAAAACTATTTGTGAAAACAATAAAATTAAACTCCAATTCAGTCTCTTCACTTGTATATAGAAGTCTAGCAACAAAGTTAAATATGTCTTTTAATAGTAGTTCATGACTTTTCAACTAATACTTGTTTTTCAGAAACCCAAGAAGACATTAAAGCATACTGTAATTCACAAAATAAATTCATGAACCAAGAAATAAAATTGATATTTAATGTTACTCTGAAGAAAATACTGTACTTACGATATCCATTTGTTCTGGAGAAGCCAACGAGAAGGATGCTCTAAAGTAAGGGCTAGGAGCTGATTTATCAACGTAGAAAGCACTTCCAGGAACCATTAGTATCTAAAAGAGTTTATGGAAAATAAGTGACATCCCCTTAAAAAAACCGAAAGAAAATATAGGTAAATCATATCTCAGAATGGGGAAGGACTTTTAAAAATTAAAGGCAATTAATCAAATCACAAGAAAAAAATTACATACAAATTCCATATATCATACAATAAACAAAACTAAAAGCAGAGAAATTGGAAAAAATGTTTACAATAAGTATGGCAAATGCAACATCTTCTCCACATATAAAGAATTTACAGAAACTGAGAGGAAAAACATCAGAATTCTAGCTTTAATGAGCAAAGGGAAGCTTACAAAAGAAATAAAAATGGTAAATGTGTAACCTAACCAGAAAAGTAATGTAAGTTCAAACAATGAGATACCATTCTTATGTTATCAAATTTGGAAATGACTTTTAGACTGGGTTCTGAAAGACAGGTAGGAGTTGGCCAAGCAAAAAGTAGGGGAAGTAGGAGAAGTGTATTTTAGGGAGAAGATACAGAGTGTAAAAGCCCTGAGATGGGAAGAAAATTATCCCCCTCAAAGAACTGAAGAAAGGTAAAAATGTAATACATAAGGTGAAGGAATAACATCAAGACGCAGTGGTGAGAACCACTGTCACTCTTAATGAGCATCCTGGCAGAGGGCTCACTGTTGCGCGTGCATGTCCTCTGCTTCCTGGACGTAGACAAACATTCGATTCCCCAGCCTCGGCCTAATGCTGTGTGGGCATACGACTGCCTCCTAGCCAATGGATGTGAAGTCACGTGTGCCACTTCGAGGCCTGACCCATGAAATGCTTCCTCTGTGGGATCCACCATGCTCTTTCCATTTTGTAGCCAGGTGGACTCTGTGTGTTGAAGGCTGAAGAACAAGGGATGGAAGGAACCGGGGTCTCTGAATCATTGTGTGGAGCACAGCTGCCTGCAGATCACCCATGTGAAAATTTCATGTGAGTTGGAATAAACTTTCGTTGTGTTAAAGGCTTCAAGATTGTTATGTAGTACGATCATGACATTCAAAAGCAGTAACGGCTTGCTGTTACATGGTATAAATCTGGGCACCGTCTGCTAAAGTAAGATGAGTAGGGAGTGAAAGCATTTGGAGCACTCTGGGGAAAAGGTTTCAAGGCAGAAGATGGGTTTTTGTGTCCTTAATAACAATAAAGTGAAAAAAAAATATATTTCTCCCAGTATAGCAGAGAAGTTTTGGGATGTGCTAGAAGCAATTTGCTCTAAGAGAAGGAGGGAGTGGTAAAAATGTCTGCAAGATAACTAAAGTCTGGGCTAAGGCGGTGGTGATAAAGTTGATTATTTAGAAAAAAGTAAAGGTGCATGCAGCAGGATATATGGAAAAAATGAAGAGGACTGCAAAAAACTACAGTAAAATGTGAAATCGATATCCTTAGCACCTAGCTCAGAGATACATACAAATAGCCACTTACCAAATGTTCTCGAAGATAATGGCATTGATAGAAAAGCAAAGAAAATATAAGATTGATTTGTTATACTAAAATGTATTTCTTTGAAATAGAACAGCTAAGTACTTATTAAGTACCTACTGTGTGCTGTTACCAGGATTAGAAGACTTCATAGAGCGTGTGTTCTGCCCTCCAGTGAGACACTTAGAGAGCATAAAGGAGCTTCCCGAGAAGCCGAGCTAGCCCTGGAGTCCAGCCGGTCACCGGGCCTAACCCTTAGCCTGCTTCATCTCTTATGTACTAGCAGGCTACTCACCAACATCAGCACAATCTGTTCTTTTGTACAGTCTATTCCATTGCTTCAAGACAAAATTAATACTAGAAATAGATCTTAGTTTTTGCAGAAGACTGACAAACATGTTAAGGGAATTAGTTAATGGAGAAAGGGTGATTTATTTGGTAAATTGGAAAGCTATACAGAAAAATATTTGGATTTCTGAGCTTAATCAATGCCCCTGAATGAAATCTAAGTAGATTTATTATTTAAATACACAAGGAGGAAACAAACAAACAAACAAACACAGAATAAATCCTCATGGGCTAATTTGAAGTGAAAAAAGCAGAACAGAAACTTTTCTGTGTAATTTTAACCATAGAAAATAATTGCACAATCAAAATACCAGCTATATATACAAGCTCTTCCAGGAAATATACCACCAATGGTCATAAAATCTGGGTGGTGAAATTATGGGCTATTTAAAAATTTTTCATTACACTTGTATTTTCTAAGTTTTCTACCATGATACGCTTTACTTTCATAATTGGGGGGAAATACCCTCTATTTTAACCGCTAATGGCTAATACCCATTGAGCATTTACTAGTCTAACTGGGTCATACATATTAACACAATTATCATAGCAACCTTGTAAGGGAGGAAGTCTCATTATTGCTAATTTACAGGTAAAACTCAGGGAGGGTGACTTACCCAAAGCCACACCCAGTAAACGGGGAGCTGGAATTCGAACCCAAGGAATGTGGCTCCAGAGACTGTGCTCTTAGCTACTGAACCAATCAGTAGCTGAAATTAATGACTGTATTCTCATTAATTTAGACCAAAATAATAATTATGGATCCCCAAAATGTATTATGATTTTAATAATGAGATAACATATCTGATATTAAAACATGAGTTAGGGTGGTGGACAATGATAAACATTTCTCTCCATTTTTTATTGTATTAATCCTCATTGGAGGACATTTTTTCATTGGTTCTAGAGAGAAGGGAATGAGAAGAGGAAGGGAGAGAGAGAAACAGGGGTGCAAGAGCGAAGCACTGATTGGTTGCTCTCGTTCTCGTAGGGACCAGGGATTGCCTGCACCTGGACCAAGGACTGCAGGCTCCCTCGGCTGCAAACCTGCAACCTAGGCGTGGGCATGAACTGGGAACTGAACCCACAACATTTCAGTTACTGGTTGGCGCTCCAAGAGCCACACTGGCCAGGGCTCCATTTTTATTTAAGTAAGAAATCATGTTAAAGAAAAAACATAGCTCTCTCCCTTTTTACCTCTTTCTTAATGGCTTTTTCTTCAATCAGTTTTTTTGCATCATGAATGCCCTTAATTTTAATCCATACAAACATTCCAGCAGTAGGAGCATGCCACTCTGCCAACCCTACAAATAAAAGAAGTGAATAAATATCTCCTGAAGCTATTTTTGATGTTACATATATCACTTAATGACAGAATTGCAGGACCTGTAAACTAGTATTTTCCATAAAAATTCCCTCGGTGATAGCATTTTTTAAAAATATAATTTTATGAGTCCTGAAAATTGATGTCCTGAGTTTTATTTCAAAAAGCAAGTGAGAGGAGGGGAAGGGAGGGAGGGAGACACAATGTATGCGTATTTACAATTTTGGTCAGCCAAAGGTTGGTGCAAGAAATCTCCTGTGTGTGCCTACTTTATGTAGTTAGAACCATACCTAAGCCAAATACGAATCTTTGGTTTTAGAAGAGGATTCAACTTTTCTGGATTCTTCCGGTGTTTCAATAAATCCTATCATTTATGTAATGGTGTAGAAGTCCAATGGATTAAAGTTTTTATCAGAATGTAATCAATTATGAAAAGAAATTATTAAAATCAGGAATTCCAGGTGCATTCATAGGCATTATATTTCATTGATTATTAGGATAGAAAAATCAAGAAGGATATTTATTTCAAATTTAATTATTTTTTTTAAAAAAAAGTTGCTGCTGATTAAAACCTTTTCTTCAACTCTATTGAACAAAATGGTAGAGTAGTACTCTTTATCAAAATCATAATTCTATTTTTTACGAAGACTTCATAGGAAACAAGGTATTAAGGAATTAAGGAATTGTTATTTTTTCTTACTACTATTTATACCAAAGACATTTTTAATGATATAATTAAAGCCATGTAATTCATTTCACTTTCTTAATCTTTAATAGAAAATTAAATATAAACCATCCTTTAATCAAATTAGCAATAGATAGTATTCGACAGATAAATGAGGTTAGTGATTAAAAGGCAAATCATTTGTAATGAGAAATCTCCTATAGACTGTACTGTTTTGTCTTTGTATCATCTAGTTAGAAAAGGGGTATGCCATTTGTTTCACAATTCCTCTTGTATTTAGAGGAAAAGTTTGAAATAACTCTAAAAACTTTTGAGTATAGATGTTATTTAACTTGAAGTAACTTACTTCTGGTTGATTATTAGACTAATTGGTTTTTTTGTTTGTTTGTTTTTTTAAACCACAGATCCTTTGCAGTGGACAGGTAAAACAGAGATAGGTAGAAATGGGCCAGAATTTGCAGACTGTTACTTCTGAGGCTATTTCTAGGGTCATCTTTTCTTGACGAGAATACTCCTGGACTCGTTTCTTGTCCCCCTGGGTTATTAACAACACTATGCAGTGTTTATCACTCACGCATCTCAGTGCTACTGTTTATCACAGGATGGGATATATGTTCCACTCACCAGTTAGCCACTTATCTGCAGCTACCAATAATGCATCCTTCTGCCTCCTGTAGTAATCAGTAACCCTAGAAGGAAACAATGAAATGGATGTGTTTAATCCATTTACTGCAGAAGCTAAGAGGCTCTATGAGAATGTTTTCTATCTTGATTAAAATGGATGCTCGATAAGGGAATAGAGCATATTTATTTGACTTTGTGGTAAACTTTTTACTATTATGTTTTTCTCTTTATTGTGGAATAATTAAAAATTGAAAATTATAAAGCAAAGTCCATTTCTATGTAAACAATGGGACCTAAAATATAATACCTGTCTATGTGGGCCAGGAAGCCCTCCTCTCCCCACTGGTGAAGAAGCTGCGACACTATCAGCTGAAAGAGATAAGATGGTAACAAATGTCATGGTTTACCCTCCAGAATGTGTTTTTTGCCAATCACTCTTGATTACACATAAACCACCGTAAGAAACTATAACACGCTGAACCAAGCTTTGCATAGTTGGTGATTTAGAATAAGTGTTAATTAATAACAATGACAATAATAAAAATGACAAATATTTACATAGTACTTGCTATGTGCCAGAAACTATTGTAATATATTAATATATTGTAGCTAATTTAATCTTGTAATAATCTTATTAGGCAGGTTATTATTTCTATTTTACTGATGAGAAAACTGAGGAACAAGGGTTAGATTAACGTTCTCGAGGGCACACAGCTAGTCCCAGCGTTTGGAGTCCTGCCAGACTGCCCAGCACCGGGTCTGTGCCGTTCATAACCACACCGCACCCCCTCAATACAGAAATAGAGAGTAGTTTTAATATATGAGATTCTGTAACACCAATTTGGATATTTGGATATTTTTCTATTTAAAATGGAAGTTCTAGATGTTGTAAATGGATAGTGAATTTTTGTTGATAACAGATAAAAAAAAAAAAAGGAAAGGACAATGTCCTCAACTTCATAAAGCACTTTATGGAATGTAAAATATCAAACAAATATCCTATTCCACATAAACATTTCTGTGCATTTTGAGTTCTTAGGTAGCAATTCTATTCTTAAGATCTAATTCTCAAGATTACATTAGGGATGGATCCAGTAATTCCTCAAAGCTTGTGAGAAAATGTATACGTCCTCCAAAATTAACTTTATTTTAGTTACAATACACACCACCCACTGTTTGTAGGAAGGTGAGTGTGTGTTTGGTGAAGATGATGAGTCCCTAGGCAGGCTTGCCATCTTGTTCTCATTATAGGTTTTAAGACAAAGAAGCTCAAGTTCCATTACTTCATCAAGCTCGGTTCCATTATGTTCAGTTCAGCAGTTGTTGTGGGTTCCTGGGCTAGACGCTAGGGATGCCAGATGAATAAGACAGCCTGATTCTCAGGTTTAGTCTATGCTACAAAATAACACCAGGTTAATTCAACTTTCATTTGTCTGATAGGGTAAGCATGCACAGTGTCAGGTTTTTAAATTCAGTGTATATTGGAACTAGAGATTCAATACCAGTGATTTCCCTCCCGGCCACCTTAAATCAATCTTACTTGCCAACATCTATTTTCTATTCTTATCTAATTAATTTTTTTTTCTATTTCCTAAATTGTCCTTACCTGTGTAAAAGTGCTGGTGTGCAATGTTGAGACTTGTGTGTGTAAAACAATTCTCTCTATCAAGGGTTTTGGACCAGTTATAAACCCTATTCTCAACCTACACAAAAAAAGAGAAAAGCACAATAGCACTCCTGTGTAAGCAACGGTCCGTCTCTCCTGACGTCACTAGGAAGAGAGTTGCGACCTGGGGCAAATAGACCTAGACAATTAAAACATTCTAATAAAGATAACTTCTACTTATTTACCAAATTTAAATTTAAGTGTACATTTAAAACAAGAATTCCTACATGTGCTCTTTTATCTATGAAACCAAAAATCTGATCTGTTCCTCTACATTTCTATATTAATGTCCAGGTTCCTTTGATGATGGGAGATGACAGAGAGAAAAGGCCCATATTCAAATTAGTAATTTAACTGGTATTTTAAGGCAAGTAGGATACAGGCATCTTAAATGAGAAGAATTGCTTGGACTAAAAGATACTGAGGCACAGTTTCTGTCTCTTTTAGGTCTAGCCTTGAGTTAGAGACACAGGGCCTTACCCAGCAGACAGGATTTTGGAGAAAGAGTCAGCTCTGATGACGCGTCCATCAATGTCCATGGAAAGAAATGATGGTGCCCAGGGCTTGGAGTGGAAAAAATAAATACTATTGGTTTGAGAACTCGGTTAGTGACTGTGTAGTTACCTCCCATAGAGACCGGAAAGGGCATAGATTTGAATAACAGTAGCACAACCATCTTTCCCATTACCGGTATCTCAACCCTTTAAAATGGAATAAAAACAGAGATGCTGTTCTTCTATTAGTACATGCCTGTCTTCATGACTTTTGTGCCATTACAAACAAGGGTTTACTCATTTTCTCCAGATGCCATTATTATGAATTTAGGCCCTCCTTGCCCCAAGCGTTGAAATCCAAGATGAGCAGACTGAGAGAAAGGATTCAAGAAAACTGAGGTTGGATAAGATATAAGCAAAGAGGACCAGCAGCATTCAGGATTGTTAACAGAGAGAGTGCTGCCTCACAGAATGAAGAAGATAAAAATGAGACTAAAGGTGAGACATTCAGTCAACATGAACTACTGACTTCAGTATTTACTTAACAAGTAGATGCAGACAAGGAAGGGGGCCATGGCCATGCTGAGAGGGAATACATACAGAAAAATCAAGAGTTTTCCTTTTCTGTAGATTTAAGGAAGGAACCGAATCCAACTACATGTTCTCAGCAGCCCTGAGAGCAAATAAAGCATTTGATTTTGAAAACCCAGGCATTGGGAGCATGCCTCACTCCTAGTGCACATTAGGAAAAAGTGACTGTGAGAAGTGGTACCCGTCCAGGAGTCTAAAGCCCCTTGCTCTGCAGGTGCGATCCAGCACCTTCATGGCAGGGGTGGGAACTGTGTGTCCTGCTGCCAGGAACGCCTTATGTCCACAGGGACATCTCTCATTGAGCACAGCCCTTCTCCTCTTTCAGCCTGAAGACAGCTTCCAAATCCTCTCCAGACGTCATCCCAGTCAGCCGCTACCAAGAGACTGTAGCTGACACCCAAGAAGAAACCCACTTCAGATCCCTGGTACCCTAAGGAACTACACACTAGGAACTGGAGCTTAAGACCATTAGCCCTGACTTTCTCTTTTCTTCAGATGTGTGGTACAGAAAGCCAGCTACTATTTTTAAGGTAAGTAATTTCTAGAAAGAGCTGTAATACCAGAAATGAAAAGTACTAAATTCTGTAATAAAACTAAAAGACTAAAAGTTGAAGTGGTAGCAGATTAACAATCATTTATTTAATTCCAAGGTAAAAGTGGATTAGCAGCCAGGCTCAAATCAAATGCAGGGCAAGAACTTGCAACAATTTATCTTCTAACTGTGAAATAAATTCACATGATCACTTACCTTGCTGAACTGGAGAAAATAGTAGGGATCATCTTCTATTATGAGGAAATCATATTTTCTTGCAAGCTAAAAAGGTTAAAGTAGTCCATTTATTTATTAAGAGCTATATAAAGTTAAAAGCATTTGGAATTATACTTTGTACTCATTCATTCAAAAAGCTATTGAGGGGCTTATTGGCTAATGAAGATAAAGAGATGAGGCTGTGAAGGCTCTTGTTCTCATGGAACTTACATTCTAGTGGGAACGAGAATACACATAAGCCATTGGATAATGAGCAGAAAAAATATTAGATAGGGGACTTAAGAGCTGGGCAAAATGTTAAACAGGGTGCTGTCTGAGAAAAAGAAACAGAGTAGCTCTTTTGGGTTGAATCACTGGGAAGCCCTTTCTTACAAGGTATCAAAGATCTCAGAATGACAGGAGAGAGCCAGTTGTGCAAATATCAGGGAAGAAGCTTCTAGACTGAGGGATGAGCGTAGAGCAGAGGCCCTCAGGTGAGACACAAGCACTGCGTGTGTGAGGGTTACAGAGAAGCCCAGAGTGAGTGCTGCAGGCGGGCTGCCACAACAACGATAAGAGCCTCTGCCAGGCAGGTACAAAATTTCGGATTTCACTTTAACTGCAAGTGGAAGCCACCGGAGGACTGGAAGCAGGAGGACCGTGAGACTGGCTTTACATTTATGTTCATCATGGACCTGGGTGGCTGCTGTGTGAAGAATAGCTGGACATCAAGAGCGGGGGGCAGCGGGGGTCTGATGAAGGGACGTCCTTGCAGACCAGGGAGGGAAGGAGGCGGTGTCCAAAAAGACGGTGATAGTAGTGGTTGGGGGGAAATGGACGGATTTGGATAAATTTGTTGGTAAATCCACAGAATGGATTGGAAGCGGGAGGCCGAGGGAGGGAAAGAGTGGAATAAAAGGTGATTGATCAGCCTGGCACGATGTATGGAGATGAAGAATGTAAGCGGTTGTGGATGAGAGGTCTGGGGTGTGACTGGCCAAAATCAGAAGTTCTGCGTGGCCACGTCAGGGTTGAAATGCCTGTCAGGCGTTTACGTTGGATGTTGGAGATGGACGTTGGGTAGAGAAGTCTGGAGTTCAGGCAATCCCATTACAGAATGCAGTCCACAGCCACAGAGCTGGGTAAGGGTGTCTAGGGAGTGTGTGAATCAGGGAAATTCAGGACGGAGTCAGGAGTATGTGAAAAATAAGAATCAGACAATATTTTGATTATATACATATTGTATAAAAGGAACTTTGGAATCTTATGATTCCACTGCAATGATTAAATTCTATATTATTTTAACAAGGGCTTGCTACTTATTTTGAAAAACTGTAGTGAAAGGCTAGGGATCACAGCTGGGTACATAAAAAAGACTTTACAAAAAGCATATTTCTCTTATTTTTCAAAGATTTCTGAATAGCTCCATATTTGTTTGATACTTTAAAAAAATGTTTATGGTGAAAAGCTTAAGCATCATTGTCAGGTACCTAAAATAGACTTAACAAAAGGAATATGCCTCTCATTTTCAAAGAATTTCTTTGTAAGCTGAAATGACAAAGAGTAAGAAAGAGAAGAGACAAGTTGAAAGTACAAATACAAAATAATGAAAATTAAACTTGGTGGTCAAATATTAAATGACCTCATAAAACTTAACATCAGACCAAGGATGCTATTTCTTTTTATGAAAATATCAATTAAAGGGAAAGAGAAACCTCATAGTTAACAAAGGATGTAGTCATTTCTTGTGTTTAAATTTATTGGGACCCTTGGCATAGATGGCTTCCTCTTATGAAAGTTTATCTTCCTTGAAAACAAGAAGATAATAAGAAAGGGAACTTACATAGTACTCTTCTAAAAAGTCAACAACAAACCAAGAACATAGCCAGCCACATTAACACTGTCTTTTAAAATACCTCATAGATTTCCTTCTTGCGGCTACTTGCTAATGAGTTTCCAGTAGGGTTGTTGCCATTTGGGACGGTATAGAGAAATTTAGGGGTGTTTTTCTTGGGGTCCTTTGAATCTTCTGGTTTCCATTGGGAAAGTATTTCTTTGAGGGACTCTGGAATAATCCCATGTTCATCGCTGGAAACATTAATAATGTTACAGCCGAGTGGCTGTAGCTGTGGAGCACATAGGAAAAAAGAAAGCCGAAGATTCATACCTGATTACAAAACGTGTCATTGATTCTTACACTGAGAACGTTACCCTTGATTCCCTTAAACATATAACCAGCACTCAGGTCTACCTCCAGAGGGTTTGGCTTGTATATTAATCCTGTTGGTGCCCTGGGGCAGATTCCATTATCATCCAAAAATATCCCATCAGTTTCCAGAGGAAGGATTACGCTTCCTTGCTCCAGTGTGCCAGGCTTCACTCTGTGTCTTGCTCTGGCCAATAAACTGAGAGAAGGGGTGCATGTTCTTTCCAAGAAGAAGCTTTAAAATCCAGCTTGCTCTTCCCTATTTCTCTTTTTCGTCTCTGCTCTAAGACTCGCACTGTCCCAGAAAGAGACTGCTTCTGTCAGCTTGGGGCTTGGGGTGAAAATGACAGGAAACACAGCTACAGTTGCCTTGCAGTAGACGTGTAGTGTGGGGGAGAAAAAAGCCTTTGTAGCTGACAGCCACGGAGATACAGGGGTCACTTGCTGTACAGCACAACCCAGCCTCTTCTGATCGAATTATTATCATAAGTGTAATTAGAAATGGTTCATAAAGTAGGTATTTATTCATACATTTTTTTTTGACAGAGTAATTCTATAAAGTATCTGTTATGCTAATATATAAAATAGTTACAGGTGACTATAAATAATAGTTATAGAGGTGACATTCAAAAATATTTAAAAAGTAGTGTAGCAATGGGTACATCAGATACACCCGCAGGCTGGAAGGGGGTCCTGGAGGCTCCCTGCCGTGTCAGCATCAGTTCTGTGTCATGGGACGTTTCGGGCGGTCTTGGGAGGGAGGCCAGGAAAACCAGGGTGTGCCGGGGCACCGAGGGGGCTCAGGGCAGCAGCTTACCAAGGAGTGTGGATTCAATGTTTTACCAACTGCTAAAGCTGAACTGGAAAGTAGTGGCCTTGCTTACAGACATGGTTTTATAAAAATACTGTGGGATCTTATTCTTGGATGAAAACACATACTAAAAAAATCAGAAATTAAAAAATTTAAGGAATAGCAGTAATTGAATGAGGTTCTCAGAAAAAAAAAATTTCAAAGGATAAGCAAACATTTTCTTTAGCAGTCCAGTGTAGAATTATTCACTAAGTGGGGATAATCCAGACCCTACTTATGACAAGTTTAAATGGTCTTTGATGGAAGGAGCTTAGAGTTTGGGTGGTGAGCACACCATACAATATACAGATGGTGTATTATAGAATTTTACACTCGAAACTTGAGTAGTGAGTTATTAACCAGTATCACCCAAATAAATTTAATAAAAAATAAAATGTCTTACTATGAACAAAACAAATTTATATTGGGCCACAAAATAAACACATCTTACTTATTAGCATATTTCCTCATGGCTTGGCACACAGTTTCCGTCTGGGTATGTAGAATGTTTTCTGTGTGTGCATGCATGCTGTTCATGTAGACACAAATTTTATATTTATAGGCACTATGTAATCTTAAGTTCCTATAAACTCTTAGGAGTTTAGGGAAATAATAATGTGTCAAATCATTAGGATAAAGCAATTGTTTTACTTAATTTTTTTTAACTGTGGTAAAGTCTATATAAAAAAAATTGGCCATTTAAAAGTGTATAATTCAATGGCATTAATTACATGTCGATGTGTGTACCCATCATCACCATCAACTTCCAGAAACTTTTCATGCCCCCAGAGGGAAGAAACTCTGTACTCATTAAGCAGTAATTCCCCACCGCTCCCTCCCCCAGACGCTGGTTATGTCTATTCTACCTCTGCCTCTATGAATTTACCTATTTTAGGTATTTCATACAATATTTGTCTTTTGTGCCTGGCTTCCTTCAGGTGGCATGTTTTCAAGGTTTATCCGTGTTATAGCATGTATCAGAACTTTGTTCCTTTTATAGCTGAATAATATTCTTTGTACATATATGCTACATTTTGTTTATTTATTCACCTGTTTATGTATACTTGGGCTGCTCCCGCCTTTTGGCTATTGTGAATAATGGTGCAGTGAACGTGTGTGTTTCTGTTTGAGTCCCAGTTTTCATTTGTTTTTGGATGTACACCAGGAGTGGAATTGGTGAATCAAACATGGTAATTCTGTGTTTAAAATTTTGAGGAACTGAAAAATTGTTTTCCACAGTAGCTGTACCATTGTACATTTCCACTAACAATGTACAAGAGTTCCAATAGCTCCACATATTCACCAATAATTGCTATGTCTCATTTAAAAAAAAAAGCCATCCTAGTATGTGTGAGTAGTGTCTCCCTGTAGTTTTGATTTTCATTTCTCTGATGACTAATGATGTTGAGTATCTTTTCATGTGCTTATTGGCCATTTGTATATCTTCTTTGGAGAAATGTCTATTCAAGTCTTTGTCTATTTTTAAATTTGCGTGTTTGTCTTTTGTTGTTGAGTGATGGGTCTTTATATATTCTGGATATTAAGGCCTTATCAGATATATGATTTGCAAATATTTTCTCCTATTCTTTAGGCTGTCTTTTTACTTTATTCATAAGGTCCTTTGATGCTTAAGAGTTTTAATTTTTTAATGAAGTCCAATGATCTATTTATATTTGTTGTTGTTCCTTGTATTTTTACTGTCATAATCAAGAATTTAGTGCAAAATGCAAGGTCAGGATTTGCCCTTATGTTTTCTTTTATCGGTTTATAGTTTTAGCTCTTACATTTAAGTCTTTGATTCATTTTGAGTTAAAATTTTATATCATGTGACGTAAGGGTCCATTTTCTTTCTTTTTCATGTGGAAATCCAGTTTTCCCATCACAATTTGTTGAAGAGACTGTTCTTTTCCTATTGAATGGTTTTGGCACCCTTGTCAAAATCACCTGGCCACAGATGTATGGGTTTACTTCTGGACTCTCAAGTCTATTTCATTGGAATAACTGTTTTTTAATTATCTTTTCAGATTGTTCTTTGGAAAAAAATTTTTTTAATATCCATTTTTTCTCTCCTTAGGAATGTTGAGAAATATAATTTTCATCAACACTAGCTAATTGCTTTATATATTGATTTTTAAGAAAGTTTTTAAAATTTTTATTTATTTATTTTTTAGAAACATGGGAAGGGAGGGAGAAAGACAGGGAGAGAAACATTTCTGTGAGACAGAAATATTGATCAGTTGCCTCTCACATGCACCCCAACCGGGGACTGAAACTGCAACCCATGCAAATACCTTGACTGGGAATTGAACCAGAGACCTTTTGCTTTGCAGTATAACTCTCAACTAACTGAGCCACATGAGTCAGGGCTATATATTGATTTTTATAAAGATCATTTTAAATTTGAATAAAAAGAAAATCAATGAAATTAGAATCAATAGAGCATAAAGGTCATCTCATTCAACTCCCCTACTTTAGGCTGGAATTAATTTTGCAATATTTGTATTAGGTGGCAATCAAGAGCACCTGCAGTGATGGGCAGTGCTTTACCTTCTTAAGGAGCAGTCAGGCAAGACTGATGGTTAGGAAGTTGTTATATTGAGTTGAAATTGTTTCCCTATAGTTTCTAGCCTTTGGTTCCAAGTCGTTCAAGCTAAGGACACGCACAAACAAATCTAATTCTCCTGTCACATGCTAACTTTTATGTGTTTGAAGACAGTTCTCATATTCATTGAGTCTTCCGTTTTTTGTGGAAAATAATCACAGTATCTAAAGTCATTCATGATATAGTATGATTTTCAGCTTCCTATTCACTCTGATTACTCTTATTCGACTGCTCCAGCTTGAATACATACCTACCCTAAAGTATTGTGCCCCAAACAAACCTAATTCTCAATGGTATGTTCTGACCAATACACAGCAGAGCCAGATGGTCAGTTTCCTCTTTCTGGTTATTATAGTCCCATTAATTTAACACTGGAGTGGACAGTCCTAATTATACCCTATTAGATTACAGTTAAATTAAATTGACATCGAACATGATTATAATTAGGCATATGATAATTACAGATGGCAATGAAAAAATAAATTTTTGTAAATTGTCACATTTCAAGTGAAATCTTAAGGAAACTGGACATGATTTTGTACAACCTAATTTTAGCACCTATTCATTTAAATTTGGTAGCAAGAAATGTACAAAGTAAAGGGTATATTTAACATAGCTTTCACATATCATTTAAGATTCTCCTGTTTACAGATGAGAGATGCTATTTTAGTTTTCAGAGGACAGATAACTCTAGAGGTATAATTGGTTTCTTCTTATTTATTATAAGGAAGAGAGTTGCCTTTTATAGAAATGTATACTCACAGCTGCAAGTGTTCCTGAATAAATAGGTTCATTTAAGAGGATGTTATCTCCACGATTAATGATCATTTCAAATACCTAACAAAAGAAGCATAGGTTAGCTTGGATAGTATTGTTTCCATTCTTAAAACCCCACAATCCCCTCCGCCTCCTGCTTTTAGTTTTAGCTCACTAGGATTATAGATTATGAGTTGGCAAATATTCTGTAAACTGTTTGATAGCACGTATTCTATGGGCCATAGTGTCTCCATTTCAACTACTTATCTCTGCCTCTGTAGTGAGAACCATAAACAGTACAGGGGTAGGCAAAAGTAGATTTACAGTTGTGAGTACGTAAAAGTTTATCCCTTTATTATTATTATTATTATAATCATAACCTACATGTCTTTTTTCCATACAACTATAAACCTGATTTTGCCCATCCCAGTATGTAAACCAGTGAGTGTGGCTGAATTCTGATAAAACTCTATTTACAAAATGAGATGAAGGCTGGATTTGCCTCTCAAGGCATACTTAGCCAACCTCAGGGTTACATGAAAAGTAACATAACTGGTTTGGCTCCCAAAATTCATTTTATCCTTTTATTTCTTCTTTGAGAATGTATTAAATATCTGCTATAAGCCAGTCCTGTAGAAGGCAAGTGGTGAATATAATCACCAGTTTTTACCCTCATGGAGGTACTAGTCCACCAGGAAAGCTAGACAGTAATTAAACTATTACTCAAATAAATGTATATTTAAAACCAGTGATGAACGCTAGTAAGTATAGATGCACAATATTATAAGAGCTCATCATAAAAGGACTTGGGCATTCAGGAAACTTAGGGCATTCAGAGATTTCTCTTAGGAAGCAATGAGATGGGGGAGTGTTGACAATAGGTACATTTTGAGAAACTGAAAGGATTCTGTGGCTTGGATCGGTGTGTAAAGAGGAGAGTGGGGAGAGAGCAGACAAAAGCGCGCTGCAACCACACCATGCAGCACTGGGCCAAGTGAGGCCAGTGAGGGTTTTAAGTAGAGCGTGGGGAGGGGGCATCACATGGTCAGATACGCATTTTGAGAAGATCATTTCGACTGTATACTGAAAAAATTAAAGATGAATGGGAATACGTGTGGAAAGTCTGGGCGGTTTTTACGATTATTCGGGACAGATATGTGTGGTCTGAACTAGGACAGTGATGGAGTTGGACAGGAGAGCTGAGAGGTACTTAGGAACTCAAAACCCATAAAAGATAATCATGGTCTATAGGAGCATGAGGACGAGGAGGTATCGAGAGTGACTCCTGGGTTTTTGGCCATGGAACTCGATGGCTGGTGCGAGTGGTGCCATTCACTGAAAGGCAGACCCAAAAGGTTGTCGCTCTCTGAGGCAGAAGATGCCAAGTGTTTTGAACTGCTTTCAAAATTTCTTGTGATGATGTCAGGTGGACAGATGGACAAATGGACGCAGAAGGAGCCTGGAAGCTACCAGTTTGTGACCGATCGCATGGGTGTGAACGGAGGCGCCCTGGGAGAGTGTACAGATTCAGGGGAGCAGAGGCTCAAGGCCTGAGCCTGAGGAGCTCCAATACATGCCGGCCGAGTAGAGGGGCACTGCCTCGGGAGCGGGGAGGGTAGGCTGGAGGGGGGCCGCCCAGGGCGCCAGACAGGGCAGCGTTTCAGAAAGGATGGGGGAAGTCAGCAGTGTTAAAGGATCTTTAGAGGTCAAGTAAGCCAAGGCTCGACAAATCTTAGGAGAGTTTGCGGACAACAGGATGTCTACTGACATCAGTGAACCAGGCAATAGATCTTTCCGGCCTAATCAAATGGATCTATTAGTGACAAAATCTTCCATAAGTCACAGAATAATACTTTCTTTTCTTTTCTTAAAAAGATTTTATTTACTTATTTTGAGAGAGATGGAAAGGGATGGAGAAAGAGAGGGAGTGAAATGTCTGTGTGAGAGAGAAACATTGATTGGATTGATTGGTTGCCTCTGACACACACCCTGACTGGGAACTGAACCCAGACCTATGCTCTGACCTGCAGTCTAACCAGTGACCTTTCGCTTTGTGAGATGACACCCAACCAACTGAGCCACATCCATCAAGGCAAGTCATCCTCTCTTGCCTTGTGTTTTTTCACAATCTCCAGTTCAAGCCTTTCCTTCCCATCTTTTTAACAACCTACATCTCTTGACAAACAGTAAGGCTGCTATTGATTGAGATAGAAGATTTAACTTTCGTTTACTGATTTGGCCTCGGATGTTCCCTCGACATTTTCCTTATGAGCTTCAGCATTTTAGGACAAACAGTATTGATCCAGGCTTTATATGATATCTAGGACCAAATTACTTGGGTGGCATGTGCACTGCCAATAGATCAAAAGAAAACTTAGTTACATACATTTTACATGTCAGTTAGGGGACATGAGAATGTCAAATATCCTAAATGAGGAGGAGGGCTGTTTATTATCTGGCAGCGCTTTTTAACAGCTATAGAAACACAGGAGCCTAAAATAACATCTATCCTGGAGAACAAAGTGAAGAGGTATTAAACCAGATTCCCACAAAGGGCTCTGTAATGAGCATACCTATGAGTGAGTTATTGATATATTTGGCCATCTATGCTATCTTTCTTTTTTGATATGACTGATGTTGTAACAGATAAAGAGGAAACTGTCTTGAACATCTTTCTGAAAAAAAAAAAATTCACAGTATACCTTCCTAAGAAAAGAATTTCATGGATGAGAACTCTTATATTAGTTGATGGGATTAAAGATATTTCCCTTCAAGCAAAAACTCTAACAGTAGCTAATCCTTTTATTTTTCCTAATTAAATTAAAAAAATGGAAGAAAAATTATCAAGATTCTTATTCCTTCAATTATTCTGTAATAATTTAACTAAAATTCATTAAAGTTAACCAGATTACAGCTTTAACATTTGCATTTAAAAAAGAAGAAAAAGGAAGCTACTCTGGTTTAAGATAAATAAGAGTCATATTTTAATCTAGATGTAAAGACTGAAGACAGGGAATCTTTACCCAGGACTAATTCATCATGAAAGAGAAGAGAAAAAAAACAGACGAGACTGAGTACCACAGGAAGAGTCTCTTTTGGTGGTTACATCTGTGAAGTTCCTGGAACCCGGGAGGGAGGGATGGAAGGAGGGAGAGAGAGTGGGTGAGAGAGAACTCAGAGAAAAGACAAGATACAAGCAGTAGTGAGCAGGTGATTACATAAGTAGAAAGACAAAGGAATCACATCACTTAAAGAGTATCAGGATATGCCTTCTAAAAAACTTATATTGAAATTTCATAACTAAAACCACATAAAACAAAATGTAACCTGAATCTTTGAGTCAGAGAGAATTAAGCAGTGCTCTCTAAAGCTTCTGGGAGGAGCTGAGTGCTCCTTTAATGGGAATCCTATTTGAATGACTCATAACCCTGGGTCACTGACTACAGGATCTGTGTGTGTAAGGAAAATCAGGTTGGTGAATGTCTTTAAGTTCTCTGTTTATTATTCTAGGTAAAGACAAGAAAGACTATTAGTAATTCACAAAACATGATTCTCTTTGTCAGTGAGAGATGAATGTATTTATGAACATATTTGATTTTTAATGTGGGGTACCCTTTCCCTTCAGCCTTACCTTACAAAGACCATCTTGGCTGCCAGTTGTGACACATATATCCATTTGTCCTTGGCTGGGTGGATAATGGAGGGTGGGAGGATTATGCAGTTTTATTTGTAACTGTTTTAGCCAGGACAACAGCTCTGGGATTCTAAAGCATAAAATATATTTTCAAATTTATAGTCATAAAAATCATAATAATAGACAGGAATTAAATGGTAGCTATATGATACTTTATACATTCAATATCAAAATCCTCAAACACCTTTTGCCAATATTAACATCCCTATTACAAGAAAAGACAACAGACTTAGAGATTAACAAATTCACATAAAGTCAATCAGCATAAAGATGTAGATATTTGAATCTACATCTTTCTTATTCAAAAAACCTACAGTCTTCATTTTACTATGGGGTACTCACTTAAGAATCAATTCTTTGTTCTCTTTAGGAAAATTTCATAAGCTACCTAGAAGTTCAAGCCCTTAAAGTTCTTTGTATCATGGAAGGAAAAGCCTATGTATATATTACATATAATTTATGTATATATAACCTGTATTATATTTCAATATAGTTTTCCATCACAGAACAGAGAAAGCTTTAATAAAGTATAATTTATAGGCAATATAATTATCCTTTATCATTAGAAGATCAGCTAAGGAAAATCTTAATGTAGGTGGTCTAGCCTGCCTTTAAGAATTAAAGACATTTGAACTGAAAGCGACATGCTTGCATAGCTAGGAAGGGAGGCTAATTCTTAGGAAATTGCCCCGGGACTTAAAATGCTGCTTTCTGGGTCATCCTTTTTCTCCTGTCTCCTAACCTGCTTCTTCACCCAGCGATCGTCTCATTTTTTTCAGTCTCAGCTCAATATAGTACTTTCTTCCAGAAGCTTTCAGACACCCCCAGTCATGTAAGGATGAGAAGTCCCTGAGGAGTGTGAGGTTTAAGCATTCAATATCCTGTTGCTCTTAATTCTTTGAAAACTCTTCCCCAAACCTTCCTAACTGTGGAATACCCATTAAAAAAAAATAAAAAGACAAGCCACTTATCAGCGGCCTTTACAATAACTGTTCATGCAAATGAGTTACCCAGAAGATTGAGAATACTGAAGTGCTTTCTTCATTATCTCGCCATCAAATTGGATGATCTTTCCATTTTCTGTGGTGATAACAGCAGTCTTAAAAGGAAACAAGTTCGGATTTGGTGATCCAGCAGCCAAGGAGATGACTGATTTAGGCGCCGTGGCCAGCAAGTCAGCTACAATAAATAAGGAAGAGAAGTGACACTTGCACTGACGATTTCCCTAAAGAGCAATCAATTACTCAGTATGTTGCGTTGCGGTCAATACAACTGTCAAGTGATAGGATGCTAATCTAGATAAACATAAAATAACTTTGCCTGGATCTACCTCACTGGTGGAGGAACTAAGGAATGGAGGTGTCCAACTAAGAAGGCAGAGTGACCAGGAAGATAAGCAAAGGGCCACAATAACAGAAAACCCTGCTCCACGTAGCCTCAGCCTGCTTGACAAGCCACACCACTCACTCAGCATAGTCTGCACCAGGTATCTCACCCCTTCTTAGGTTCTGGGAAGAGCCTTCCTATACAGCACACCCTGTCTCTTCCAAGGCTGTGTCCTGCGACAGCTAGTTCTATATTGTTGCTCTTTTCCCGCCTTCGGTTCCAGCCCAAGGGTATGTCTGCATACACGGACTGGCTCTCAGTGAACTTTCACAGTTGAATGAACGATTGCAACCAAGGGGTGACTGCAGGCACCACCCACAGAGATCTGCGAAGATCCCCCCCTCCACCCCCATCCCAGGAGGAGGGACACTGCCCCAGCACTCACTCAAGACTCGGATGGGAGAAGACCTTCTTGCTTGGCTCGTCGCGGTAAGGAACCGTGCGTAATTCATGTCTCTGATACCGTAGCACCAAGCACCTTCTTCAGTAATTGAAGTTTAGCACAACCAAAGACCCACGTCTAGGACTGCCTCTTTAATCTCTCTCGAAACTTCACCTTAGTTGACTCCCACCCTCCTTCCTCTTCCCCCTCCCCCTCTCCCCGATGAGTCTGGTTTCTCGAGTGCAGTGCCGGGAAAGCGCCGCCAAAACTCCTGGGCTCGAGGCAACGTGGCGAGCCTGGGTCCTGAACGACCCAGGGCGGGTGGCAAAACAATCCAAGTCTACCCGCAGAGGGACCGTTCCCCCCCACTCTCGCGCCCGAAAAGCTCCGGTCGGCGCGGGGGCGGAGGCGTGTTTGCCTGGCCACACCCCCTCCCGCCCCACGCCGCAGCCTATAGCTGGCGGGCCCTGCGCGCCGCCCAGTCCTGGTAATCGCCGCCTGCGCGAGCACCGGGTGGCCGGGGCGCGGCGCGGGGGAACTGCAGATCCGAGCCAGTGCCTGAATCAATTCAAAGCGGGTACGGCTCTTGACCTGGCAGCTGGGAATCGCCACAAGGAAGTGTCCCTCTAGGCATATACTTGGAGTCGGAGATCTTGCCGGGAGGTGTTGGGGGGTAGTAGCGGGTGAGGCCCGGAAGATCTCAGCGATTCTAATCCATGAGTGCTATCTGGCAGTTACTTTGGTTTTTGCAGCAAGATCCCAAAAGGGCTATCAGCCTGGTGCTTGCTGCACGGAGCTTTCGTGCGCTGGTTGTTACCTGGCTGGCCTCTGGCGACACAGAAAGTGCATTTTACCCGTCGGACCACTGTTGTGTAAAATACTGCCTTCCCCCCACCTTTTTTTAAACACAACTATAGGCACTATTCTGGAATAGTCAACAAGGCGACCCAGGTGATCTCCAGCGTCACTTTCTCCAAAATCTGAGCATTTTAGAGTGAAGGTGGAGCGCTAATAAAAATTTTGGAATAATCGCCCTGAGGGTCTCAAATTTTAGTCTCTCTTCCCCTTGGATTTTTTGACCATTCCTTATGGACTTAAGTTGGAAGTGTCTATCCAAAGAGATTCATCTATTTGAATCAAGCACCTTGCCCTCTTTTCTTACAGAATAATCCTCTCCACCTTCCACCTCTCACCTCCCTACTCCATTTTCTCCGGGGTTTCTCTTTCCTAGTCACCAAATTGCAATGCACAGGGTTTCCAAGTGAGCACTTGAGATGATTTTGAGACAATCTCTCTTACTCCTTCATGGGTAGTTAAAAAGTCATTTTTAGTTAACAAATTCAAAACTGGATTCATTCATTCAGTAAACATTTCTTGAATACTTTGTGAATGAGTATTGACACAGTGCCAAAAGGCTCCCTTCTAGACAGAAATAGATTGATTGGTCCTGACAAGACCTAGGTAATTGCTCTTATCTAGGCCCTTTCAACAGAAGGATGAGGTAACTAGTGAAATCTTTATGCCACCAGCTAAGTAACAAGGGAATATCATTAGTAAAGTCGCCAGAAACCCAAGAGGCAATAGAGATTTGGATTCAGAGGTTTGAAGTGGTTTAAATCTCCCTTGATAATTTACCAGCTGGATGTCTTAGGACAAATTACTTAATCATTCTGTGCATCAATTTTCTCATAGTGCTGATGTTGGCAGGATTAAATGAGATAATCTATATTATGCTCATTAACAAAGTGGCCTTCCTGTTGTAAAAACACAGTAAATGTTAGCTGCCTTTCCCTGCTCATATATAAATTAGTACTGGGAGTGGAATGCTGCTATACCAAAAATCTAAGATATATGACATTGGATACTAGTAGGACAGTGGATGATGATAGATTATTTCTGAAAAACTGGAAACAGCTGATTCCTGTCATACTGTGACAAATCATTTGGTGAGTTCTTCCTGATGTGCACAACAGGTCAAAAAAAAAAAAAGAAGAAGAAGAAAATATTCCAGGGCAAGCGTAGGATTTCGTTATTATTAAAGTATAATTTTCAAAAAGGTAAAAAAAATCATGAGCCCTACACACATGTTATTTGAACACATGTGAAGCATTTCATTTAATTCATTATGAGGAAAACTCTAACCATTAAAATGGGTTGAATTGATCATTTATCTTGCAGAGATTTATATTTCATACAGAGGCAAACTTCATTTGCCACAAACAGGTTATAAAAGCGATGTGAGGTGATGGTTATAACTAATCTTATTGTGGAAATCATTTTGCGATATATATGTATATCAAATCATGTTTTGTACCTTAAATTACACAAAATTATAATTTTATCTCAGTAAAGGTGGAAAAAATAGAATTATATGTGCAAAAGATATTTTTAAGGCATATGTTGTTTTCTTTAGCAGAAGAAAATGCTATGTGATGATTAGGAGATTGTTGCCAATATCTGAGTTAAGAGTTGAAGGTGCTGTTGTTTTACAAGTTATGATACTTAGTCGTGTGGATTCATTGGGTTTGATTGATGTTTCATGCTGGACTCTGAAAATAGCTTGCTTAGCTAATGTAGAAGAAAAGTGCTAAAACCTGGAATAAGATGTTTAAATATGGGATGCTTTAACAATATCTGGGAAGAGTTCAGAAATGCATACTGTGACTTTTATTATTGTAAAATTCTAAAACTGCAGGATGATCCATTTGTATTTTGTTTCTCTCAGCGAGTTTGCATGTAGGCAGTAGTGGAAATTAAAACTGGTGATGCGAGCATGGCATTAATCCTTGTGAACAGCTTGCGCGCAGACAACAATGGGATTTATTGAACAATAGAGAAGTGTTCTTACTTGCCAGGTTCTAGGGTTTGTCGTGACTGTTTTTGTCAGATGTGTGGGTGCTGGGAGGAATAGCTTCATAAATGTTACTTTGATTTCCAGATTTGACTTGATGGACTTGGGTGGCAAGGCATGTGAGTGTTTTTTCCTTTTTAGCTGCTCCGTGTTGGATGTTATAGCAGCTGTCTCTTGTGAAGAGAGCCTAGTGTCTGTTTGTTTTTATTCATAAAAGCCTACAGAGCCTCTAAGGGAGCCTGGATCATGCCTGTGAGGTGCCCGTAGTGCATGGAGATGTTGTGGTCGGCAGAGCCCACCTTGCAGGGCAGCTCTGCTTGGAACTTGTCCTGAGATGGATGAGGGTTTCAGTGTGGGCTTTATTGGAGCCTGTAGTCTATTTTTTTATTCTTATTTTCTAATGCTAACCCAAGGATATGTTTTTTTAAAAAAGATTGATTTTAGAGAGAGAGGGAGAGGGAGGGTGGGAGGACAGGGTAAGAGAGAGAGAAACATCAATGTGAGAGAGAAACATTGGTCCCATATGTGTCCTGATTGGGGTTTGAACCCACAACCTTTTGGTGATGGGACAATGCTCTAACCAACTGAGCCATCCAGGGCAAGATGCATAAAAGAGTTTTGATGGACAGCAGTCATTTGGTGAGTTAAAGCTTCATTCTTCACAAGTGTGCAGAGCAATATTCACCACTGGACAGTAGTTCCCTCAGGAGGTTAAAAAGAAATAAAAATTTTCTTTGAAAAGCAGAACTTATTTAACACAAATTTTTAAAGAGCAGTTGAGAAAAATGCATATGGATATTATAGATTTTTGGCCAATTCCTAGGTCAAAAAATCAAGATTCTAAGTTGAGGAGTCAGCAAAGATAAGAATAGTTTTTACACACATCTCTAATGATTCTAAATGTTTTTGGATGTAACTTGAGCATGTTCTAATGAACACTACATTATAAAGAGGAGCTGTTTCCTCCTTATAACTGAGCTGTTGGTAGAGACAGAGTATAAAGTTTTTTTTTTTTTTAACACATAGCAAGAAAAGTCCGTATTCTTACTGAACCTCCTTTTTTGAGATTAGACTTTTAAAATAATTTGGCTGAGTTCACATATTCAAAGCCCAGAGGATCATTTGGGACAAGAACTTTTTTATCCACTTTAAATCCAGGGGTGAATCCAGTATTTAGAAAATATTCAGATTCTCTGAAAGTTAATGGTCAAGCAAGCATGGATGTGGAACATATCTTACATGTTATCCTTTCTGGTAACATGATGATCAGTGCGCCCCAGCAGTGCGCCTTGATCTTGGCAAGGAGCTTTCACTTGACATTATTGGGAATACAAATGAAGAAGAGGGACAAAGATTTTGGACTGGAAATTTTTTAACTAGTGCAAAATTGGCATTGTTCTCTTGTCAGTTGCAAAGTCTTCAACCTATGCTGTCTTTTCCCCAATCAGAGATTTATTTATTTATTTATTTATTTTCCAGCTTTATTGAGATATAATTGACATATCACATTGTGTAAGTTTAAGGGGTACAATGTGATGGTTTGGTACATTTATATATTGAGAAATGATTATCATGACAGGGGGGTACAATGTGATGGTTTGGTACATTTATATATTGAGAAATGATTATCATGACAGGGTTAACACCTCCATCATCTCACATAATTACTATTTCTGTGGTGAGAATTTTTAAGATTTACACTCTTAGCAACTTTCAAGTGTATAATACAGTATGTTAACTATAGTTATCATAATGTACATCAAATCCCCAGAACTCATTCATTTTATAACTAGAAGTTCATACTCTTTTACCAACATCTCCCCTTTTTCTCCATCCCTAGTCCCTGCCAACCACAAATATACTCTGTTTCTATGAGTTCTGTTTTTTAAGATTACACACATAACTGAGTCTTTCACAAATTTCACACAAATTTGTCTTTCTCCACCCGACTTTTCACTTTGCATAATGCCTTCGAGATCACAAATGACAGGATTTCCTTCTTTCTTTATCCATTCATCCATTGATACGTAGGTTGCTTTCATACAATATATTGGCTATTGTAAATAATGCTGAAATGAACATGAGGGTGCATGTGTCTCTATTAGATCCTGCTTTTATTTCCTTTAATTATATACCCAGAAGTGGTATTGATGGATTATATGGTAGTTCTATTTTTGATTTATTGAAGAACCCTCATACTGTTTTCCATAGTGGCTAAACCAATTTACATTCTCACTAACAGAGTACAAAAATTCTCTGTTCTCCACATCCCAGCTACTTTTTATTTTATCTTTTTTGATAATAGCCTTCTTGTTCGTGTGAAGTGATGTCTCATTATGGCTTTGATTTGCATTTTCCTGTTAATTAGTGATAGTGAGCATCTTTTCATCTTCCTGTTGTCCATTTGTATGTCTTCTTTGGAAAAATGTCTATTCAGTTCTTCTGACTATTTTAATTCTGTTATGTTTTTTGTTATTGAGTTGTATGAGTTTTACAAATATATTTTGGATATTAACTCCTTATCAGATATATGGTTTGCAA